GGGGACTTTACAATCCAGGAAGGGGGCATTGTTTTAAGCTGTATTTTTAAAAGAGGTGTATAATGTTAAGATATATCTAGAATGCTTAGAAAGTTCTGAGATGATATCAAGATATTCTTGTACATTTGAAGCTGGATTATGAATATGAGATATTTTTGAAGTGTGTAGAGTAAGTTGAAAGATAGTCGAGGAAATAGTTTAGAGAGTATATTTATCTGAAATAGAATAATTTCAAGATAGAAAGTTGAATCATCCAGTTTGTTTTCATGAAGTAATTGGATCTGTGTTTGCTATTGAACTTATTGGGCTACCTTGTACAAGTAAGTTGATTTGTTTTATATTAGTTAACATAATTTGTAACTTAAGCCTCCAACTTATGATAGTGTTCAAGGTTTTAGAAATGTAAAAGTTGGAAATATGCTAATTTGTTGTAGTTTGTGTGAACTGGACTTTTAGTTTTTCACTGGATCATTTAAAGCACCTGCTAAGGAAAGAGCATCTTTACTACAATAACAATAATACTAAGATTTGAATTATAAAATACTCTTTGAAACCAAGTTTATTGATGGACATTGATAATAAATTTGTGTAATTAAATTTTGAATGTAACTATAAAAGGGTCATGATGTGCACTTTGAGCCTCACACCTGCACAGACAGTGAAATATTTATCGAGTCTTCCTTTAAGTTTCTTTGAATTTATTGCATCCACCAATCTGAGGGTAATTCTAAAGACCAATCACCCTGTTTGAGATATAATAGTGTTTTAGCTGAAGATGACTTCTAACCTGCCAACATTTACATTTGTTTCCAATATGGTACTTACTTCCTCTTACAAGATTAGCTATTCTTGTTCGGTGCTGTTCTCTATATGCAAACATGCCACAAGCCTTGCACCCCTCCTCCTTGGAATTACTATATTCCAACATGTCTCTTGTGAAAATCATCATGCATCATCTGTTAACCAATATTAGCATGATATGCTCACATGATACATGTGACTCCTTCTACACTTCTCGTTTGGCAGCGTTTGAGTTCAGATGTCTTCTTTTCTGTGCTTAGTGTATCCAGTGTGACAAACAATTTTTTTTTGCATGAAGTGGTTCCTTTTTTGAGTTTATTTTTATTTTATGCCAGTTCATTCTTGTTGATATACTTCTGCACTCACCAATTTGTGAACATTTTCTTGAGTTATGAATTCTGAAGTTCACGTTACCATTTCAGAGGTTGCACCAACAACCAGTGTTTTTTCTCATGCCTCAGTGACCCAACAGCGGATCTCTCTGCTTTTATACATTAGGAGATTGAATGCTATATGCATCAACCTTTGTACCCTGACATAACCCAGGCTCCTCTTGAGTCAGCTGAAATTGTTCAGTATAATGAGAATTTTTATTGTGTTTTCCTGCCTCTAGAATTTGCTATTCCTTCCCAATAGCAACATGTAGATTCACCTGGGCTTAATTCAGTCTTCACAGATTTTGTGTCTCAGGTTTGTGATGTTTTATCCCTTACATCTTGCACATTTTCTGAGATATTATGTCTTTGATACAGTCTAAGAAACCATAGAGTCTTGGGTGACATCAGCCTGCCAGCAATCCACTCGTACAACCTTTGTAGCCTGTTTGTCTCGGTTAGAGCATCATATGCCATCCATTCCCATTTCTCATTCTTCATCCACCCAATCTTTACCCATTCCTTCTAATCAGGGTACTTTTTTTCGTCGATTTCCTCAATGATAACATCCGTCAACACCGGTAATGGTGACTACCCTGCGGGTTCTGGTCCGATGGGAGCTTGACTGTTGGAGTTTCTTCCTCACTGGCATACCTTCACCGACAATCAATGGGTGATATGAGTTCTGTCAGAAGGATCATTATCCAGTTTCTTTCCCCACCTCCTATTTCTCTTTGTCCCGTTTCCTTTCCTCCTTCTCGAGATCCTGTGACCTGCCAGCATCTGTCAGAGGCAATTCAAGATTTGCTATTGCAGCAAGCAATCAAACTGATCCACTATCCTTCCAGGTTTTTTATTCCCATCTTTTTGTTGTCTCCAAGAAAACTGGGTATTGGCAGCCAGTCATCAATATATCTCACCTCAACCGCTTCGGTGCACTCCCTTTTCTCACCCTTAGATGGGGATTTTCTCTGGAGTTGTGGATGACAAAGATGGCTGTTTCCAATGCTTATCTCCACATCCCGATAGCACATCTGTCTCGACCTTATCTTCGGTTTGTCCATCTCAGGGTGGTTTACCAATTTAAGGCCCTCCCTTTCGGACTTGCCTCGGCTCCTTATGTATATTGTCGTATCGTCTGAGCTTTTGCTCATCATCTTCATGCTCTGGGGATGTAATTTCATTATTACATGGACGAATGGCTCCTTCTGTCTCATTACGAGCTGGAATCAGCCAGTCATATTCACCAACTCTTATCTGTGGCGGCTCGGGTGGACTGGTTGATCAAATTAGAGGAGTTATTTCTTTGACCCACTTAATATCTCGTCTATTTGGGAACCTTTTTTTGGACATCAATATCAGTTGCACTCTGCCTTCTCCTTTTAAACCTTCATTCCATGGAACTTTTAGTTCAACATACCCTCTTGACTCAGTCACTTACTGCTCACATGCAATGTACTCACAGATCATCTTTCGCACCCAGACCGAATCTATTCGATGGAGTGGGCATTAGATCCTCTCATTTTCATGGACCTTTTCCATCAATGAGGTTTTCCCCAATTAGATGCTTTTGCCACAGGCCTCAATACCAAGTTGCCCCTCTTTTGGTCACCTGTACTGCATCCGTAGGCTTTGGTGGTCAAAGTCTTCAGTCAGGATTGGTCGCACAAGTACCTTTATGTGTACCTTTCAATCTGATTACTTCATTGGGTGATTTCTTCTTATCTACTCCACTCCTTGTTGAGTCCTTCTGATTGCACCTTATTGGCCAGTGTAACCTTGGAAACCAAAGTTACAACATCTGCTCCTATCACCACCTGTCCCTCTTCCACTTTCTCCCTCCGTTCTTCATCAACCTCAATCCCACATTCTACATTCCAATGTCCCTGTCTTGCATCTTCATGCCTTGGTTTTATCATGTTCTTTGCGAGACAGTTTGGTTTCACATGACGAGTTGCCTCCTGTTAGCTAGTTCCTTAAAGTCATCTTCCATGGAAGTGTACCAGCGAAAGTGGAAACTCTTCTGCTGTTTGTCTGCTAATAGGGGATTTCCTGCTGATAAGCCTTCTGTTGTTTGTGTGATGGAATTTCTCACCTGGCTTTTTGATCATGGGTCTTTGGTCTCCTTGCTTTAAGGATATCGGGCAGCCGTATCCCAAACCTTCCATTTTTCATAATACCGTAGGGTTTTCATTTTCCCTGTTCTTACTGTGCTCATGCATTCCTTCTGGATTCAGAAGTCTCCATGGCATCCTGCCCTTCCAGATTGGGACATTAATGTGGTCCTCCATGCCCTTACTTTACCTCCGTTTGAACCACTTTCCTGTACTCTTATGACAATACTTCCATTCCAGTTATTAATTAACTTTTTCGACACGGGGTTGGTCAATTTGACTGAGTCATGGGACCTTTTGTACTCGTTTAAAGTATTTATAAGCTAATACTTATAACTCTCAGTATATTGGATATATCTTCATGAAATTTGGCAGTCTTTCAGTTAATATTACAAGTCTTTCACATACAAAAAGTCATATTTCTTAGTGAAGTGTTTTTAATAAAATAAAGATTTGTCCATGAATGTATTGAGTATTTGTTTTGAATAGTCTGTGTGCAAAGTAATTTTCATGTTAAAATTAAAAATACTTTTTGCCATCTTAAAATTTCCTTTGTGTAATCCCTAAAACCTCCTTAATGCATTTCAAATGTTTTTTTCACTAAATCCTTACAGCAGCTCATGTTACGCTATCGAATTACATTACCCACAAGCTGCTCACATGCGTGCTTCGTTAAATATATTATTAATATTGTTACTTATTTTACCTAATCTAGTCTTTAATAAATTAAAAAAGATCCATATTTTTAATTTTAATTACTTTTATAATAATAAATAAAGAATAAATATGAAAAACAAGAAATAAAGTACGTACCCGATCTTGTTTTTTCCTACTCTCGATTGTTGAGTAGAGTTAAGCCTGATTTTTTATAGTAATTATGGTAAAGTGCTTAACAATTTTTATTTAATTAAATAATGCACTAAAGAATATAGACTAATAACATACAAAAATTAGACAAATTTATATATCTCAAAATTTTCCTGGCTTTCAACTATATGACAAGAGCCATTACAAATTCATCTAAGCTAGTAGTTAACTTTCCCAAGGGAACGATGCTGCTACTGTGAGTGAAATTAACAGCTAACTGTTCAGAACATAACATTATAAAGTATGTCATTTGATAGATGAAAACCTTG